CGGCGCCCCCCCGGGCCGGGTTTTTTGGGGGGGGGGGTCTCGGTGACGGGGGGGTCCTGGGGGGGCTCGGCGGGCGCTGTCGCCGCTGCCGGTGACTCATCCCGGAGCCGCCGCCGTGCGCGGAATGGCAACGGCCGCGCTCGCCGTGCCCGAGGAGCCGCACGGGAGGGAAGCGAAACACGCGGAGATGGGGGAGACAAAAAAACCCGGGGGGGGCTCGGGGGGGCTCGGGCAGAGCGCGGAACCGGACTGGAAACGGGCCCGGGGGCGAGCGGCGGGAGGGAAACTGAGGCACGGCCCCGCCGGGACGGGGCGGGCGCCAAACGGGGAAATCGCGGTGGGAGCGGGGGGGCGCCGAGTTGTGACCCCCCCGGACCTCCCCGGACCCTCCCAGAGCCCCCCCGGACACCCCCAGATCATCCCCGGACCCCCCGGACCCTCCCAGAGCCCCCGGAGGGTCCCGGAACGCCCCCGGGGGGGGGTCCCAGGATGGGGCGGCCCCTGCGGACCCCAATGATTGCCGAGAGGTGAATTTGGGGTGAAAAGAGGATTTTAGTGACAGCGGGGACAGGGGGGGACACCTGGGGACACCGGGGGACAGCGGGGGGTGCAGTGAGGGGTGGGCTTGGGGGTCGCCGAGGGATATTTAGGGAGGGACAGGGAGGGGGATTTGGGGTCGGGGGCTCCCGGCACACCTGGCGGGGTCGGGGGGGTCCCGGGGGTCCCGGTCAGTGCCGGGGGGGTCTCGGGGGTCCCGGGGGTCGCGGGGGTCAGTGCGGGGGGGCGCGGCCGGGCGGCTCCCGGCACACCTGGCGGAAGGCGTTGCGCAGCAGCACGTAGGGGAAGCAGCTCTCCAGCATGTCCAGCGTCAGGAAGGACGACTCGGCCACGATCTTTGGGGGGGGGCACCCATCAGAACCCCCTCCCCACTCCTGCCGACCCCCCCCGGCCCGGCTCAGGTTGAAATATTTGAAATATTTGAAATTTTTGCATTTCGATCGCTCCGGGCACTCCCGGAATGAATCCCGGGGTGGGGGGGGGGGGGGGGTGACCCCCCCCCCGGCCCCTTCCAGGGGGGTCTGGGGGGGATGAGACCCCCCCAGTATTGGGGGGTATTGGGGGGGGCTGGGGAACATTCGGGGACAGCCCTGAGCCACCGGGGGACATCGGGGATGGCAGAGGGGACATCGGGGATGGATATGGGGACATCGGGGATGGCAGAGGGGACATCGGGGATGGACCCAGGGGACACCCCGACCCCCGAGCCCACCCAGGGGGACCCCCGAGCCCACCCAGGGGACATCGGGAACTGCCCAGGGCCACCCCAGAGCCCCCCAGCTGCCCCCCAGGTGTCCCCAGGTCCCCACCAGGTGCAGCAGCAGCACGATCGAGTCCTGGTTCCGCGCCCGCGCCTTGTCCGGCTCCTGGGCCAGCTGCAGGAGACTGCTGGAGGCCAGCTGGGACAGACGGACAGCGGACAGAGACAGGGACAGAGGGACAGAGGGAGAGGGGACAGACGGACAGCGGACAGCGACGGGGACAGAGGGACAGGGGACAGAGACAGGGACAGAGGGACGGAGGGACAGCAACGGGGACAGAGGGACAGAGGGACAGCAACGGGGACAGAGGGGACAGAGGGGACAGAGGGACAGGGACAGGGGATGGGGGACAGAGGGGACACAGGGGACAGGGACAGGGACAGAGATGGGACAGAGGGGACAGGGACAGGGACAGACGGGACACAGGGGACATGGGGGACAGAGGGGACAGGGGAGAGGGACAGGGACAGACGGGACATGGGGGACAGAGGGGACAGGGGAGAGGGACAGGGACAGACGGGACATGGGGGACAGAGGGGACAGGGGAGAGGGACAGGGACAGACGGGACATGGGGGACAGAGGGGACAGGGGAGAGGGACGGGGACAGGGAGAG